TATATTTATATATATATTTATACACACACACATGCATATATATATGTATTGCATATATACAGCACTATATATTTATTATTTTATAAAAAAAAATTAATGAAAAAAATCTCAAAAAACAGGTACAACTTTGAATGTGAGTAGAACAGTATAACACCTGCACCCCAAACAAAGTTGCAGGAAAATTCTTGGATGCTTAAGTTTCTTATCTCCTTACTATAGGCTGCTATGATGCTTTTCATTTTGATTTAGATCCCTGATTATCTGGCAAACAACACAGGTTCTGAATAGCAGTCTTCGCATACAGCTAAACTGTTGCTTCTGTCGTAAACGTAATCCAATTTCTGTTCTGCAGTTCCCTTTGGAACACACCTGGTCAGATTTTCACTTCCTGTTACTCTGCCAAAACCATTTCTGTCCGGGAGACCAGTGACTTCCTCAGTGCTAATCGGTGTTGAATTCTCAGGACTAACATTACTTGATCTATCAGTGGCATTTGACGCAGATGGTCACTTTCTTCTACTTGAAACACTGTATGCACTTGCCCCCAGGTATTGTGCCCTTCTGGATTTCCTCCTCCTCCTCCTCAGCCTCCTTTCCTCGTTTTCCCATACCTCTTTGAACTTGAAATGTTAGTATACCAGAGGGACCACTTCTCTTCTCAGTCCGTACTCACTGTAGGTGATCCCATCCAGACTCATAGCTTTTTTTTTTCTTTTTTAATTTTAATTTAATTTAATTTAGTTTTATTTTATTATTAGTTTCAAGTATACAGTAAATTGATCAGACATTTATATAGTTTATAAAACGTTTTCCCTGATTGCTCTTTCTCTCCTCTGGCCCTCCACCTAACCATTACATTAATGCTGATTGTATTCACTGTGCCCTGCTCTCCATCCCCGTGACCGTCGATGAACTACTGATTTCTCCTTCTTTAACCCTTCACCCCTTGCCCCCAGACCCCCACTCCCTCCCTTCTGGCCATCGCCAGATTGTTCTCTGTATTCGTGACAGACTCATAGCTTTTAATACTATCTACCTACTGTAACTTCCAGATTTATTTTTCTGGCTTAGACCTTTTCCCTGAGCTCTAACCTCATATCCTCTTTATAATCAATACCTTCAGTTGAATATTTAATACACACAATTAGCATGTTCTAAGCTGAGTTCTCTCTCTCTCCCTCCTAACCCTACTTCTCCCGTAGTTGTCACCATCTCAGTTAATGGCAGTCCCATTATCCTCGTTGCCGAGTCAGAACCCACGATTCTTCTCCCATCTAAACTGTTAAGATTGTTTTACCATCTTTATCCAAAAACATCATCCAAATCTGTCCAAGGTCTTGCTGTTTCTTACCACTTTTACTGCTACTACTATTTTTCTAGCTACTCTTGTCTCTCCAGTAGCCTTCTAATTGGCTACTTTTTCCTCTGCTCTCTGGCACTTTGTCTTCCATAGAGCAAATGATCCTATTAAAATGTAAATTATATCATACTTCACCTCTGCTGAAAACCCTCCAGTAACTTCTCATATTAGAGTGAAAGCTAAAGCCTTTATAATAGCCTACAAAGTTATGTAGCACTACTTTTCTGTCTTCCATAAAGAAGCAGTCTTGTTTTTGTTTTAATTTCTAGTTTGAAGTAGACCAATACTTTATGAAAGTATAATAAAAATGATTTACTGCAGAGAACTTCCACTCTGGTCATGGTGAAGTAACTGGCATCAGATTAACTCTCTCACTGTAAACTACTAGAAAACCAGTCTGAATGTAACAAGTACTTTCAGAAATTAGACGGTTAATAGGACAAGACTGATCTCTGAGGGATGAGAAACAAAGGAGAAGAGCGCTATGATTGTCCAGGCTTTCTGCCGAGAGGCATTTGCCAATCCCCCTTGCAGGATACAAGCAAAGCAAGACAGTCTTGCTGAGAATAAGAAGACGAGATTGGAGTTTAGGGAGGCTGGAGTTTGCCGAGCAAATTACCAAAGAGGAGGAAGTGTGCAGAGAAAGATCTTCATAAATCTTCATAGAGGACCCTTGAGTCTTTGGCTGAAAACTAAGCTGTATTTGCATAAATGAGATGTCACAAGACCAGAAAAGAAACAAGTACCTGGGAAAGAACAGTTCTTGGGGAATTTGAAAGTGGAAGAGCTATCTGAGCTCACATAGTTAAGTTTCAGCTAGAGCAGAGAGACATCATTGAAGGCTTTGACCATTCAGTAAAGACCCCAGAAAGGCCACGCCTTAGGAGCAGCACAAAAATAGCCCTAGATAAGGTTGCTGTAGATCGGCACTAATGAAGCTTAAATACAAACCTCAAAGGATCAAGCTGTCCACAAGTAAATTAACTACCAGATTCTTTGGAGGATGACATCAAAATCCAGACATTCAACAGCATAATAGTCACAATTTTCATCATTTCAGTACAAAATTAGAAGACATAGGAAGAAGCAAGAAAGTATGACTTGTAACTAAGAGAAAATTAGTCAATATAACCAGAGCCAGAAATAACAAACATAAACTTTTAAAAAATATAAAGGAAAATATGAACATAAGAGAAAAATGGAATAAAAAAGAACTAAGTATAAATGTAATTGTGACTTTCCGCATATATGTTCTACTTGAATAAGAAAGTTTTTTAAATAAAAATCACTTTTAGAGTTGAAAGGGATAATACCTGATATGAACTATTCAATGGATGGTCTTAAAAGATCAGAAATTGCAGAAGAAAAGTCCACTTAAAGACATAGCAATACAAACTATCCAGAACGAAGCACAGAAAGAAAAAAAGCTGAAAAACGAACAGCCTTAGTGACTTGTGGGACAATGTCAAGCAGTTGAACAGAGGAGAAAAAATTATTTAAAGAAATCATTTTTTCCAGTTTTCCAAATAAATTTTTTACAAATTTGATGAAAACTATAAACCCACAGATACAAGAAGCTCAACAAACTGTAAGCAGGATAAACAGAGAAAACTATACTAAGGTACTTATAATCAAATTGCTCAAAACCAGTGATAAAGAGAAAATATTAAAAGCACCTAGGGAAAAAAAAGATGTTATTTACAGGGGAACAAAGATAAGATTTTCCAGTGACTTCTCATTAAAAACAATGCAAACTAGAAGAAAATGGGCCAGTACATAAAAGAGCTGAAAGAATTTATCTTTATTCTTTCCAAAATATATAAATTTACTAGCGTTATCCACGGAAAAGGTCTAGAAGCAGTGACAACCCAGGAACAATGAGCACCCTAGAGCCCTGACTGTGGTCTCTAAGTGCTCTCTCCTAGTAAAGGGAACCTGGAGTGCTTGGACGAATAGTGCATTTCAGGTATGGGGCAGGTTATATACAAGATGAGCATCTTATTGTGCCAAGCAAGGAATCTAATAAGATCTAATGGATATGTCAGAAGAACATAGGAGAATCTAATGGATATGTCAGAAGAACATAGAAGAACATAGTCCCTAGTTACAGGGGCTCCCACTGGCCAAAGATAGGACAATTTGAGCACCAAAAAGATAATTACAACGGACTGAAGCACATCAGGTACATAAAAATCTATGAGTTCATAATGATACTAAAAGAGAAAAATCCTTGGTAACCATTGGAGTTTGCTAGGGTACTAACTCATTGTTCTGAATTTTGTTAAATAATATCAGTCATTTATTTTACCTTTCCTAAATGAGCAGTATTTCAAGATAAACATAGAGAGGAAAATAACAAATGCAGAAAAGATGATACAATTAGAAAAATCAACATTTTTCGACCCCTAATGAAATAATGAATCTAGTCAAGAATCATCAGTAAATGCTAAAACTATTAATTGAAAAGTTGGTGGGTGACTTTATAATGGAGAGATGTAACCAATAACATTTGAATCTCCTGATCAATATATATATTCCTATTTAATTTATAAGTACACCATATTACCTAGGATTGATTCTAGCTACTTCTCGAAAACAAAACAAAAACAAAAAATTTAATCAAGCATCTAGATCTAACCATGGAAGATAGAGAAACAAAGTAAATGACACCACAGACGACAATCAGTTAAATCCAGAATATAGGATATGCTACAAGATAGCCCGTTTTCTTCACAAATAAATGACAGAAAAGAACCAGGGAAAAGGAAGCATTGTTACAGATTAAAAACAGAACATCAGTCAAATGCAAGGTTTGTGGACCTTGTTTGGATCTTGATATTAACTGTAAAAGGATTTTTTTTTTTAAAGACAGGAAAATTTTCAGTTGGAGTGAGTTACTAAAATTTTTTTTAGATTTTTTAAATGTGATAATGACATTGAGGTTATGTAAAGTAAGTATTCCCAAGTGAAATAATAAATTTTCTGAGATTTGCTCTAGCCACCCCTTCTTGAACAAAATGAAAGATTGTGTACTCAAGGACCTTCCCTATATCTATAGCAGTGCCCCGCTGGGAATGTATACAGTGTTGTCTTACAATGAGATACAGTTCTAGCAACTTTGTTTTAAGTACCAGTTGTGTGATAAAAAGTAGAATGATGCTAAAGGCAATATCTTCATAGAAATTAAAAGGTTTAACTGGTATCATGAGGTAACACTGAAAACCCTTATATGTAGACAAATCTATAAAAGCATTAGGAGGACACTTAGTAGACCCTCTCTGCCTGTTTTCTTGCCAGAGGACATTCCCGAAAAGGTGCATCCATCACGGAACCCAGAACTTGGCCTGACTGGTGGACAAGGCGCCCACCTGACCCCTCCTTGGTTTCTCTCCTCAAAGATGATAGGGCCAGTTGGCCAAAGTTGTCTCCTAAGGGATTGCTTTTGTTCAAAGTATTTGTAAGATGTATTCTCTATGGTCTAACACTATATTCCATTATGCATTGTGGTCTTTTTGTTTTCCTTATCATGATTTATTTTTTTTTCTGTATTTCTTTGAAATTTGCCCATTTTAATTCATGTTCATTTCTCGCTCTGTATGTGTTTACGTCATGCTTGCTGTCTTTGCCTCCGTTGTTCTAGGTTACAGTATAGCCAGCCTATACGCAGTCACTTGGCCGATGAGCATGCCCTGATAGCCTCCTTTGTGGCCCGTCTGCAGCACTGTGCACGGTCAGTGGTAGAGCAGCAGCAGCAGGCGGGTAGCCAAGGGCTGAGCAAAGGGAGGGAGAGCTGTGTTACCCGGGATTGCCAGCTGGAAAAAGCTCTGCTTGTGGCGTTTTTCTTGAGAAGCTACCAGCTATGTTTGGCAGGGTTTAGATAATTGCTAAAATATTAGCTTCTCAAGGAGAAGGAGCCTTGCCAAGCCCAGGCACTTATCTAAACATATAGTTAAAAATTCTCCTTTAAAGTGGAGCTCACTTCCTTCAGATAATACTTAAAGAGCATACAAACCTCAGAGATATGCAGTCCCAAAGATGTACATTCACAGAGGTATCTGATGCAACCTCTTACCGTTCATTCTTGCTTAAATAATGAAATTTTCTATTGACATTCAAAGCTTAGGGTTGGTCACCTCACAGATATCTTACATTCTCTAATCTTTGATACCATCACCCCATTACATCTTTACATGTTACATCTTCATCTCTTCCCCAGAATCTGTCATTGTTGATTATTCAAACCAGGGGTTTTCAGCAGTAATGTTGGATCATTGTCACCTCAGGGACTTTTTCCTAATGACATATATACCTCCTCACATTATAATAATTATATGTATTATAAAAGTCCCACAGACCCCTTTCTGTGAAAACTACTGTGGTAGTGACTCACTGTTTATATGGGAATACAACTGATCCCTCAGTGACTTAGGATGGAAAAATACTTGATAACTGCTAGCTACAGTAAAGTTAACTCTTTAAAAGAGTTAATACCAAACAAAGTGCTATTATATAGTCAGGCAGAACCAAAGCCACCTGCCCACTCTGTGCCAACACCACCTCCATTCTGCATGGAGAATGGCAGGTCAAGATTAAATAACCTAAAGCCATCCCAGCCGCTCTGCGTGGCAGCAGAGAAGAGTCACTGTGCCAAACAACTTGAGATTCTTATTCTCAGGGGGAAAACCCCCATCATTTATAAACTACACACATAAGAGAGGCTGGAGCCTGAAATTTTGATCTTAGTTTTGCCCATAATGTCATGGTTCCCTGGTAAGGTCATTCTTATTCCCCATTATAACAGAAGAATAAATCAGTAATCAATGAGGAAAAAACATCTCTTTGAACTCTTTTTAATATTATACTTCATACCATGTCCCATAGTTTTCCGAGTATGACTCAGTAGCATTATTTCTTTTAGGCACTGACCTATCTCTAAAGATTGTAGGCTTCTCTTACTTCCCATGTCTAACTGGTAGATTTATCCGAAGGGAGAGAAAGTAGAGCCTGATAACAGCATTGTATCACAGAGTGCTTCCTCACCCAACAGATGATTACTTTGCACGCTGCCCCACCCCCGTGATCTCTAGGAATAGAGTTGTCTCACCCCTGGCAGGACAGCTTACTTATTATCAGCAAGGGCAATTGTCCAGGTGATTAAAAGTTTCCATGATGAAAGTAGCAGCAGAATGCTGGACAAGGACTGCTACCTAATATTTCAGCCCAAAAAGATTTATGGTAGGTTTAGCCAAGGTCCTCAAATATCTTAGGGATATTAGCCTCCCTGAGCAAGGATTGGTGGCCGGGAACCCTGGGAGAACATGAAGATTGGGTGAGTGCTGTATCTCTTCTTGATTTATAGTCTAAGGAACTGAGCTTCATACTCTCTTGAAGAAGTCATAAATTTCCTGGCTAATAATGAAAATGAAAGTCAGCTCAGGCAGAAGAATAAGGAACCTTTGTAATTTGCTTCATAATTTTCATTGACCTTAAAACCCCTCATCAGCATAAAGTTTTAGTTTCTGGCTGGAAAGCAGCATCAGTTAAAGCAGCCATGTCGTCTACACTCAGGTATAAATGACAAGCACTATTAACCTTCCTAGAGGAATGTAATGTGATGCAGAAGGAGGAACTCTTGGACACAGAGGAACCTATTGTATCTCTTACCAAAAACAAAGGTCAACCACTTTAAGTTCCACTTCTTAGGCTGCCAGTCCCTCCATAATATTATCTACTTGTATTATTAAATGTTTATTAGTGTTATCGTTTATTTAAAAGATAAAGATAGTTCTCTCATTTCACATACCTTTAAGGCATAAATATAGGTCAGCCCTAACCTTGGGGTCTTGACTCTGAGTTAGTTAAGTCATCTGACAGTAGCATGTTCTTATTACAAGATCATCCTTTGAGAGGATGATTATACATGCTGGAGACTGACATTTGCGCACCTAAAATTATAGTGCATATAAGTGTCATAGACTACTTAAAGCACATTTAAAAAAAAAAAACATTTTAGAGGAAAGACTAAATTTAAAGAATTACTCAGAGATAGAAAAATGAAAGGTGAAAAAAATCTAGGATATATACAGCTGATTCTGTACTTGAGAAGGTCAGATGGATCGCTCTCGATTTATCTTCACCCTTCCCAGATTCCCTTCAATAATTATGACAGATTTGTTGAGTATTTTACTCATGTCTTTAAATTTTTTTTATATTACTTGTCATATCGCTAATTTCCAGTCTAGAGTTTTTAGGATTCCAAGAACCTAAGGGCCAAAGCAAGCCACAACAGCCATCTCTGTTGTCGTCATCACTGTTATCTTAAAGCATCTGCCAAACTGAAACAAAGGGAATCCTATAGCCACAGTCCCTATTAATCTAGGAGTACCCTGAGAGGAATAAATCACAGTTGACGTAACATGCTAAATCAAAGGAGCCAGTTATTCCGTAAGCAGTCATAGCATCACATCTCTACAGAACAGGCCTACTTCTCAAGAACCCGTCTCTTATCCAGGTGTGGCATGATCTGATGTTCCACCTAAGTGGGTCTTTAAATTTTTAGAGTGCTGATACTCAGTTAAAGAGTAATGGACTAAATTACTTCACTCTAAGATGGGGCTGGAGCTGTGGAACAAGCATGGTAAAAGGAGAGAGTCATTAAGGGAATGTTTGATACCATGTAATCTTCTCCAGCTTTACCATATGTTGGGCCTGCCCCAGACTGCATTCTTCAGTCTGGGGCAGGCCCAACATACGGTAAAGCTGGAGAAGATTACATGGTAACACTTGCTCAGCAAGTGTTAATTGTAGTTTTTGTCAGCCCTCTGTTTTTCATGATGCTTTAGTTTTCTTTTGGTCTTTTTAAATTCAAGACCTATGTCTAAAAGTCACGAGTTTTTTAAAAAACATTTGATTAGAAAGAAAAAAATCATTTGATTAGAAATGCTTCTCTCAGGCTTTGTAAATGTCTTTTCTCAGCCCTCGCATTAAAAAGAAGCATCCCTTCTGAGGGCATAGGAGCAGTGGGGATATGCTAACGAAGAGAAATGATACATGTGGCCTCATCATTTCTATAAGTCCTCTTTGTCTCAGAAGACCATTCATATCTATGACCCAGGCCTCCATTTATTTTGTTACCATTCTTTTCTTTACAAGCTTTTGTCCCATCTTTCTTTCTAAGAGAGAAGCAGGAGTAGGGGCCATTTAATAGACACCTGTTGAATGTTTATCTCCTTGGCAGTGTCCTGGACAGTCCCAGCCGACTGGATGAGGAACACCGGCTGATAGCTCGCTATGCTGCCCGGCTGGCTGCAGAAGCGGGAAACATGGTGAGTAAATGGAGGATTCCAGTAGAGTAGCAGAAATCAGCATTACTTTAACATACAAGTGGTCAGGGAATGGTGAACGTGAAACCTCAGGGACGGAAGGAGAGGAGCGGCTTAAGGGAAAGGTTTACAGTGGCCTTTAATTTCGTCTATGATACCATTCTTTAAATAAAAGACTCAAGAAAAAAGTCGATTTGGTTCTTTAAAAAGATCAGTAAAATTAATAAATCCCTAGAAATCCTGAGCAAGAAAAAAAGAAAATAGAAATTACCAATATCTCAAATGAAAAGAGGGACCCTGTGGACAGTGTAAGGATGATAAGGGAATATTATGAGCAACTTTTTGCCAATGAATTCGACAACCTCAATGAAATAGATAGATTCCTTGAAAGATACAAATTAATAAAATCGACATAAGAATAAACAGAACCTAAGGATTCTTACATCTGTTAAAAAATTGAATTTGTAATTAACTTCCCACAAAGAAAACTCCAAGTTCAGATGGCATAACCATTAAATACTATAGTAGACTTAGGAAGAAACCATAATCTAACATAAACCCTATCAGAAAAGAGAGGAGAAGGAACATTGTCCAAGTCATTTTATTAGGCCACTATAACCCAATACCAAATACAAAGCAGTTAGTTACAAGAAAAGATAATTGATGGCCAAATTCTCTCATCAACATGGATGAAAAAATCCTTAACAAAATATTAGAGAATTGAATCCAGCAATATATGTAAAAAAGATAATACTCCATGATCAAGTGAGGTGAATTTTAGGAATGCAAATGTATTTAATACACAAAAATCAGTCACGTAATTCACCATATTAGCAGTTTAAAGAAGAAAGTCATAAGATCATTTCAATAGATGCAGGAAAAACATTTGGCAAAATACTATATCCATTTATGATAAAACTCAATACACTAGGAGTAGAAGAAACTTCCTCAGCGTGATAAAGAACACCTACAAAAAAAACCTAAGCTAAAATTTAACACTTAAAAGTTAAATTTTAGAATATTTTCCCTACCTAATATTGAGAGCAAGACAAAAATTTTCACTTTCACCACCATTCAAAATTGTGCTTGGCAGTCCGTACATAACATGAGAAGAAAAAAGGCATAAATATTGGAAAGGAAGAAGTAAAGCTGTCGTTGTTTGCAGACGACATGCTCATGTATAGAAAGTCTTAAGGAAGCTACAAAAACACTGCTAGAACAGATTCATGACTTTTCAGCAGTGTCGCAAGGGACAAAGTCAACATACGAAAATCGATTGCGTTTCTGTGTCTGTGTTAGCAGCGAACAATTAGAAAATTAAATTTAGGAAAAATATCATTAACCATAACGTTAAAAAACATCAAACACAAGCAAAGAGCGAGGTGGAAGGAGGAATGATCAGAACCCAGTCGACAGCCATGTCGTCTACACTCAGGTACAGTGTAGACGGTTGTAAGCGAGCATTGACCAAGTAAGGAAAATGAAATGTGTTCCCAGTGGGGCGTTTCAGTACATACAAAGGCCCTGAGGTTGGCGGTTTCAGGACCTGCTAGATGGCTCATGTGGCTAGTGCACAGAGAACAGTGTTGGAGTGACATTAGGCTGGACAGGCAGGCCGGATCTCTTAAGGCCACATTCTACAAACACAGTGTATTAATTATAGAAATATGTGCCGATTTATGTTTACTTCTTCACAGGGAAATAGAGTTATGAAAGTGGCCAATGGAACGTCTTTGTTTCTTCTCTCCAAAAAGTAATTTATTTATTTGAGTTTGTTTAGACTTCAAAGTCTTTTCTTTGAAAATCTAACATTAGGTCACACATCTGATTCTAATATTGCAACTCTAAAGGTTAGTGAAATAGAACAGAATGGGGGGAAAGTTCCATTTAATTAATTCAACCTCACACATACCCTCATTCAGTCACAACCATTCAAGTTATTTTGGAAATTTATGAATAAAATTAAACCTGTTGCGATGGACAGCATTGTGCTTAAATTTTGAAAATTAAGTATATTTAAGGCCATTATATAGTCTCCTGGACTTTACATAGTACTTTTGAAATGTTGTAAATAAGAGCTCCAAAGCCATTTGACCCTGAGAGGGAGATCACAGTACGCTTTTTACTGCAAACAAGATTAAGTCTGTTTACACCTGATAGTTTCTGATGCCAATTCTCTTATTCGTGTGAAAATGACCATTGTCAGAATGGAGATACTGATATGGTCCCTTTCATCTTCAGTTTATTTTCCAAAGCATGGTTATCTTATAAATATTGGACCTCTCAGGAAGGATTCTTCTTGACTAGATTTCAGTTAAACAGAAGACCCTAATCCGCTAATCTCTCACTGATACAAGTGCTTTGCATAAAGTGGGTGTAGTGCTCAAAAGAATTTATTTATAGCCTGCCAGATAGGCTTTGTATTGATTTTTTTCTCAAAAAAACCTTCTTCTTCCATGAAGAAAGACCATTAAATCATTTTAGCAGCCGACATCACACCCTAGAGTGCTTCAGCATCAGAGCCGTCAGTCGCCCTAGGTGGCACACATGCCCACTGACACCTCTTTTAGTCTGACCCTTGAATAAAGAAATTCTAGGTTGCTTAGGTGAGCCAGGAAAGCTGATTTGTTTTTCTGAAGTGTCTAAATCCCTTTTTAAAAAAAATAACAGTGTGTGGTAAATCAGAGCAATAACAGCAAATTCTTAAAGTTTTATCACAGACATCACCAGCTTCAGATATAATCAAATGTTTTTGGTTTATTTTTAAAGCTTTTTTTCTTTATGAAAAAAATCAAAAACTCATTATGGAAAACTTGGAAGAAATGTGAAAGGAAGGGGAAGCCATTGTATTGTCATCCTATTGAATATTTACATATTTTTGAGAAGCTTTTCCCACCCCACCCCCCACCCGCCGCCCAGTTAGCCCAGTCTTAGCCTTCACAGCCTCATCATGTGTCACCTGCTCCAGGCATGCACCATCCAGAATGTCCTTATGGCTTCTTAGAATTAAAGATCAACAGTATCCATGTGGGGTTTCGTACACGTGTAATGACTCAGAACTCTTGTAAAATAGTAATTGTCAAACCTGGATTTCTATTATAATCATGTGTGAAGCATTTAAAAAATTTGTAGATTCTTGGCTTTATCTCAGACCTACTGAATCAGAATCTCTGGGTTTCAGATCTATTGATTTTTATGTAAAAAAGGAAAAATTTTTTTCCAGTCTTCTGATTCACAGGTAACTTTGGAACCTCTACCCTAAACAACATTATCGGGTTTTTGAGAGACAAGAGAGTTATTAATAATCTACAGCCATTTGTTAGCCAAATTGAGATTGAAATGATGGGATGGATACAAAGGGAATCTAGTTGATATTGGAACTCATCTTTGCCAAGTTCAGACAGATGGGAAGCCTCCAGTCTATTTTTAGGAGGCTACAGAAGTACATACTACCAGATTACAGCTTGCTGACTGTGTCAGCTTTCTTTGGTGTTATAACATTTGCCCGGTTTTACGCAAAGGGATCCCGCTTCTTATCCTGTATTTTGCAGATGTATCTCCATCTCATTAAAGATGATGGAGCTCTGTGAGATTACCTAAACCTAAGAGAATGCTATTGTAACAGAGTAGGTGATCCTCTTCACATCTCTTTTCATACTTATTCCCATTGTACAGACAAGGAAATAAAGGTATATTAAAATAACTCAAGGATTACATGATGAGTAAATAGCAAAACCTAGGATTCCTCATTAGTCCACTTATTCCCATTCTTACCCCACTACAGTAAATTCTCCACTTAGTAGCCAAAGCAGTGTTGTTTATAATAAACATTTTATTATAGAACAATTTGAGACTTACAGAAAAATTGTGAAACTAGTAACAAGTTTTCATATAACCCATACTGTTTCCCCTATTATTAACATCTTACATTAATATATCATTTGTTACAATTAATGAGCCAATATGAATGTATTATTAAAGTCTACAATTTATTCAGATTTAATTAGTTTTTACCTAATGCCCTTTTTCCGGTTCCAGGGTTTCATCTAGGATCCCACATTACATTTAGTTCTCGCGTCTCCCTCAGTTCTTTTTGGCTGTGACAGTTTCTTTGATTTTCCTTGTTTTTGATGACCATGGCAGTTTTGAGGAGTGCTAGTCAAATATTATAGGACGTCCCTTAATTGGGATTAGTCTGATGTTTTTCTCATAGACTGGGGTAATGGGTTTTGAGGAGGAAGAGCTAAGTGCCATTTTTCTCACATCCTATCAAGGGGTCCTAGTATTAATATCATTTGTCACTGTCGATATTGACCTCGAATAAGTGTTTTTCAGGTTTTTCCAACATAAAGTTACTCTTTTCTCCCCTTTCCACCTGTCCTCTTTGGGAGGAAGTCACCGTGGACGAGATGCGCAGAAGGCGTGGGGGGTCAGGCCCTACTTCCTTGTAGGTGGAGATGTCCATTCATTATTTGGAACCGATGCTGTAATTCCCTGTTCAGAATCCCACAGTGGCTCATACCACACGCAGAATGAAATGGAAACTCCTCTCCGTGGTCCTATGTGATCTGGACCCGAGCTTCATCTCCCTGTTCACTACCTACCACTCACCATAGCGCACTTCAGGCCACCAGCGCTGACCTGAGAACACCAGGATGGAGCAGCTGCAGGCCGTTGGCCTTTGCCCTCCTTTTTGCCCAGTGCTCTCGTCCCTCAGAACTTGCCCTGGTTCACTTCCTCACTTCATTGAGCCTCTGAGAGCCCTTTCATAGCCACCCCATTTGAAAAGCATCTGTCTCAGTTCACTCTGTTTGTTTACCTAATACTTCTTCATTGTGTTTATCACGACTGATTATAAACGCACACGCACACGCACACACTTTTTTGGTTTCTCATCTGTGTCTCCCAGCGCGATGCAGGCTGCGTGAGGGTGGGGATTGTATCTTATCCACTAATGCATCCCTAGTCCCTAGAACACTGTCTAATGCATAGTAGGCACTCAGAAAATACTTACTGAATAAATGAATGAGCTATGTAATTTTTGAAAGAAATCATCTTTAGGTCTCTTCTGGCTAAAGTATTCTTTGTTCTTATGAGCTAGTAATTCCCTTCCTGTCTTTTTCCCTTCAGTGTTCTGGAGGCATCTTAGGAAAGGATACTGGCTTTTTCTTTTTTTAAGGAACACCATGGTGTTTTAAGATAGTAAATAGTACCTCAGGATTTGAATCTTCCTCCACTCCCACCTCATTGTATTTGCGTAATGATGTGACTTGATGCCAAAGAATCCTGCTGGTCAGGAATCACTATCGATAACCCTGGATTGCCTTGCTTATTAGCCTCCTCTTTGAAAGATGCCTCAGCAGTGCATTAGATAATCAAAACTGAAAAGGTACTTCAGAAATTCCACCGAAATACTGTGGGGTTTTTGTTTGTTTTCTGTCATGTGAAGCAAATTCCTTTCAGAGCTCATTTCCTCATCCATAATTTTTCCTGGTCCCACTTTAATAAGGAGCCATTAATTTTAACTCCAGTTTTCAGAAATTATAAATCTATTCATAACAGGTCCAGTCTCAGGCAAGCCACGTTTCTGAGGTTCAACTTAGGTTCTCACAAGATTCTTTAAAGAATATAGAAAATTTGCTGAATTGGTTATTGGTCCACTTTTCTCTAGAGAAAGAAAAATCACCCTTTTACTTTTTTTAATTAAGAAAGAAAAATATTTAGTAAAAAGCCTCCCACCTGGATTTGCTATGCTGTTTTGCTCCTGTTTGTTTAGAAAATGCCCTGTGAAAAGAATTACTTACTACATCTTCAAGCTCTAGATAGGAAACAAGGTTTCTGGTTCCACGCAGTTCATGCTCTGGGCAGAGCCAAGGATGTGCAGAATGAAGCATAGCCAGTAGTGTCTTCCGTGGGAGCGTCCGTTCTGGTTACTCAGTAAAGGGGAAATGTCACCTATGTATTGGGTTGATTGGCTTCCATGTTCTCAAAGGGGGTAATGAGGGTCCCAGACATCAGTGGAAATGGACTCACGAGTCAGAACCACAATGATTTCTCCAAAGAAAATATGCAAGTAGCCAATACGCACGTGAAAGTAAGCTCGACATATTCGTCATTAAGGAAATGCAAACTGAATCCACAGTGAAGTACCACGTCATACCCACTAGGTTGACTATGATCAAAAAGACGGACAGTAACAAGTGCTGACAAGGAAATGGGAAACATGGAACCCTTGTACGTTGGTAGTGGGACTGTAAAGTAGTGAAGCCACTCAGGAATAAAGTTTGGCAGTTCCGCAAGAGGAGGGATGACTGTATGAGCCAGTGGTGCCACTGCTAGATATGCCCAGGAGAAATGAAAACATCTCTACACAAAAACTTGTCCATAGTTGTTTATAGCAGCATTATTCAAAATAGCTCCCCAAGTGGGAACACCCTAAATGTCTATCAGCTGTTGAATGGATAAAGTATGGTATATGCATACAATATAATGGAATATTATTCGTCCATAAAAAAGAATAAAGTACTGATATGTGCTAAAACAAGGATAAACTTTGAAAGCATTTTGCTAAATGAAAGAATTCAGACATAAAAGATCATATATTGTATTATTCCATTTCTACGAAATATTCAGCATAGATAAGTCCATAGGAACAGAAAGTAGATTAGCAGTGCTCAGGCAGTAGGGGAGGGGGCCGTGGGGGGTGACTGCTGATGGGTGCAGAATTTCTTTCTAGGGCTATGAAAATGTTCTGGAATTAGATAGTGATGATGGTTTTACAACCTCATAAATATACTAAAAACAACTGAATTGTACACTTTGAAAGGGTGGGTTTTTTTGGTTTTTTGTAAATTACATCTCAATTATTTTTTTAAAAACCCCGTAGTTAGATACTTCGTACCCAGTAGGATGATTAAAACCAAAAGGACAATGGCAAGTGTTAACAGGATGTGGAGAAATTGGGACCCTTATTCATTGTTGGTGGGGCTGTAAAATGGTATAGCCACTTTGGAAAACAATTTGACACTTCTTTTAAATGTTAAATATGGAGTTACCATATAACTCAGGAATTCCACTTCTGGGTACTTACTGAAGAGAAATGAAAACACATTTCAACACATATATCAACACAAAGGCTTATAAATGAAAGTTCAAAGCGACTCCATTTGTAGTAGCCAAAAAGCTGAAACAATGGGATCCTGCTCAGCCGTAAAAGGAGGGAACTCTTGGTTCGTGGAGCAAGATGGATAGACCTCAAAAACATGCTGAGTGGCAGCCAGAAACCATTCCATTTATATGAAGTTTCTGAAAAAGGCAAAACTAATCAGAAAGCAGATCGGTGGTTGCCTACGGTTGGGGATGGACGTGAGTGGCAGTTGACTACAAACTGGCTTGAGAGAGTGTTTTTGCGGTGGTGGAAAATGTTCTAAAACTGGACTGTGGTGACTGGTTGCACAACTGTTTAAATTTACTAAGACTCACTGAATTATACACTTAAAATGGGTGGGTTTTAAAAAGAAAAAAAGGGTAGTTTTTATGGTAGGTATTTTTTATACCTCAAAAAATCTATTAAAAAAATCAACAATCCAGTTAGGACTCCAGATATATTTGAATCAGAACAACTTACTTTCTCCTCACCATAGACCCGTCCTCCCACTGACCTGAGCTTTACCTTTGATGCCAACAAACAACAAAGACAGCTTATTGCAGAACTGGAAAACAAAAACAGGTAAGAATGCAGGATTGAGCCAGTTTCCGACGTCCAAGGTTATCACGTGGGTATCCGATTCTCATTTTCCTTGCAGGCTAGATGGTTTATGCCCACAAAAGAAGATTCCAGCACAGTGACTCTAGGGCAGCCCAAGTCCAGTATATGCCCTGGACAGTAAATTGTATATCTGCTTGCCATTCATTGTGCTAGTCCAAAACCTTGCCCTCGGGTAGATTCTTTTCCCAGTGCCTTCTCCCACACACAAGCGTGTCCCCTCTCGTGGTGCTTTTCTCCACTCTACTCCCAGGAGCCTTTTGCTCTATCTAGTCTTCTTGTCTTGGCCCATTATGCTGCATGTGACTGTCTGATCTCACTAGAAAGCCATTTAAAGGCTTGGAGACCAGACAACACACCATTATGCCCTGAAAAGTAGAAACCAGGACAAGGAGAGTGGATGTAATATAAGAGGCGTAAGTAGAAGCAGCTGTCCATCACTCGGGGTGGGGGGCAGGGGAAGAGGGGAGACAGAGGAAGACTTGGGGGAAGTTAGCATTAGGAGGCTGCAAGTTCTCTCGTCCTTTCCCCAGCAAAGAGCAGAGTATTCTAGTTGTTATTTTCTTTCTGTGGGAATTTTTTTTCAAGTTCTTGAAAACGGTATTTTGTGGTAGAAACTGCTTTTTCTACCACAAAGGATTGTTTTATTGAATAAGTCAGGTGCAGCAGTATTAAGAAGGTGTCTGTCTGTCTCACATCTTGGTCATTTAGAAGCAATCAAAACAAGATGGGTAAAGGTGGCGCTACTAGAGTAAAAACTTCTAACAGGAAGAGGGAGCTGTAAGACATTACATGGCCATCTTCCATCCTGTCTAGAGAGATCCTGCAGGAGATTCAGCGTCTCCGTCTGGAGCATGAGCAGGCTTCCCAGCCCACCCCTGAGAAGGCCCAGCAGAACCCCACGTTGCTGGCAGAGCTGCGGCTGCTGAGGTAAGTGGGGTACTGCATCGCCATCTGCAAATTATAATCGGCTATGGTCGGAATTTATATGTCAGGAAACCAAATAGTGGGGTAGAATCTGTTTATCAGTATAACTAGTCATGTTAGAACAAACACTTGTGCTGTTACGGCTTCAAATTTATTGATCACTGAGAACTTCTGCCTTCATTACAAAACGAGGCGAACACCAGTCCCCAGCTCCGGGACGCACGGAGCTGCGTTTATGCGTTTATGATTGCTTTGAGAAGACTATGGCGCTACACTGGTCTTTCTATCTCGCTAATTAGTCTGACATTAGAGACTTGGCAGAAGTAATGCTCTCCCTGATGACTGGGTGTGTTCTTCTGGCTCTTCATGGTCAGAGCAGGACTCTGTTGGAGTAAAAGGATGCTTCCTTCGCACATCCTCGTGAGGCGCGCAACCAAATAGGAACCCCTCACACCATGGCTATGGTACCTTTCACTTCAGCATAAATCTAAACTGTCTCAAGGATCGAGAGTTAAGGACGCAGGATCAGAAGGAGGGTAGAGAGCAACTTCAGCTCCAGCTCTGATGCTGTTTTGGAGGGAATGGGGAAGACTTCCAAAGAATGTAACTTGTGGGTGGTCTGATCAAAGTTATTAGGCTCTTATTTTCTATCAGTGTTAGATGTGTGTGTGCTCTTCTGTAAGTGAAGACATGGAGACTGAGTGACTTGATTCTCATCAGACCTCTAGATTTCCAAAGAGTGAATTCTTTCTGTTCGAGTTGTAACACTTGACATTCCACAATTGATTTTCAATGTGCCGTCATCTGGAATTTTGCATAGCTGAATATCTTTTTTGAGTTCTCCTTTTGGCTTAGGTCATTTAGCTTCTCAGCTGTGGTTTTTTTTTCCTCCCTAGAGAATAGAGATTATTGTTTTTCTATAACTATCCTTCTGTTTAGATTTATATCATTAATAAATAAGTCAAAAAGAATTTACACAGTGCAGATGAAAATCATTAGAGGTGTCGAGATCCCCATTCTAAAAATTCATTTAAGTTTCTAAATTTAGTGGGGCTGAGATTTTAGCCGCTCCAGTCTGCCATTGCATGTGTGGGATGTTAGCATAGTTAGCACAGAAGGGGAGGGGAAAACAACTGTTGCTGATTCAGGCAGAGTGTAACTCTAAGCTATCAACCTAAGATACAACTGTTTCTTCCCCACCACAGCTCAGGTAGACGTGATTAGAAGGCAGTTGTTCCATCCTAAAAATATATAATCTAGTTTTGGAAACAAAACATAGAATAAGTTCCTAGTCAGTTAAATAATATACAATGTTAATAAATAGTGTGGATATTACATTATAAGAAATCCGAGTGGGGAAATTTGAGAAGTATGTTATAAGAGATCTAAATCTGTACGGGCTAGAAACACTTAGACCCATGGAGGTGGTGGAGTTGAGCAGACCACGAGAGATAGGTATGATTTGGATGACATGTGGCACAAAACTTTTATTATTAGAAGTGGCATTGAGGTTCAGCACGGTCCCCCAAATAAGCATAACACATTTCAGAGAGGGGAAAGCCTGTTGGAGCTAAGAACTTATTTTCAATCATCCATTGATTAATCTTCAAAGTGTCAGTGATAGGAGATAAAATTAGATAGTTGAGATCAGATTCTGGAGAGCCTTAAAGTGATAGGTTATTGGAAATCCTGGAGGGTTTCAAATAATGATTTCATTACGTTAACTAGATGTTAACTGAGTGCATACTGGATGCATGCTATTCTGTTAATCATTCAATACATGCAAAAATGAATAAAACTCATCCTCTGACCTACAGGATTTTGCATCATGGTAGGAATGACAGCAGTGAAGGTAAAATAAATTAAGTGCCATAAAGAAGCACCAGTTGCTATAGTGATTAATTGAGCAGGACCTGATAACTTGCTGAAGTAATCGGGAGCAGCTTCCTAAAAGAGTGATGCTTGGGATGGAGATGGAGGAGTGAATAACATTTGGAAGAGGGGAGGAATAGCTGCGAACCGTAAAGTAATGGGGTCTGTTTAGGAAAAAGTGAACCATCAGGAGGTCCAGACATGGAAAGGGCTAGGAGGTGAGATGCTGAGGATAGGAATGTAGGTGGGGTCGAGAGCAGTGCTCTCTGTTAGAAATATAATGTGAGCCACATAGGAAATTTAAACTTTTAACAACCGCATTGAAGAACTAAGAGAAATTAGGTGTCATTAATTTTAATACTGTTCTTCACTTCATCTGATCTATCCAAAATATTATCATTTCTACATTTAATGAACATTAAAAAAATTATTAATGAGAAATTTTACTTCTATCCAGTGCATCTCAAATCAGGCTAGCCATGTTTCAGGGGCTCAGTAGGCACATGTGGCTCATGACTCCCATATTGGACAGCAGAGGTCTAGGGTCAGGGCAGGACTCAGCGATGCCAGAAATTCTCTTGAGATTATTACATAGGATGATGAAGTGAATGGCTTTGCCTTTGAGCAGCATTTTAAAGTTCACGAAACACTTTCATATTCATTATTTTATCCTCAAAGTATCGCTGTTGTTATTTGTTGTTTGTCCCATTTTACAGAATAGAAAGTTGAGGCTCAGACCGGTTAAGTGACTTGTCCACGATTGCAGATGTAATAAGTGGGCCTCAGGTCTCTTGATTTATATTTCACTGCTCTTCTCTTAGTACAGCAGGTAAAATCAGGATTTTTTAAGCTAAGGGATCATCGTGTGTGTGAGGTAAGGCGCACTTGGATAAAGTGAGAGACGTGAGAGTAGAGAGAGACATGCATTTCCAGGAGAGAATTCTCCAAGCTGGGTGATTTATCGAATATAGGATATAAACGAGAAAATATCAAAGAGGACTGAGTTTTTCAGCCATGACAACTGGATGAAAAAGAGACAGCGACAGGAAAATGGGGAAAGAGAATCATTTGGGGAGGAGAGTTTTAAGTTGGATTTTGGACATAGCGGGCTAGAATTGACGTGAAACTGGTCCTCGGGGAAAAGAGAATTCTCTTAGACACAGAGAGTCACCCTGGTGTCTGTCACACTTCTAGAGTCCCATGTCTGGTGCCGGAAGCACTGACTATTGAACCCTGTTTTCCTTAGCAGTTTTCATACATTTTCTTCACTATCAATTTAAATTTGGACTGGTTTTATGTATTTTTCTAAATGAGGTATTCGACTTCCTGATAAACAAATTTTTAAATCACGTTAATATTAACGTTTTTTCTCGGTACGAACATGTGTACTTCCCAAAGCATTTTTATGTGATATTCTCACAACAGTTAAGAAAAGTGGGCAAAACAGATATATGACCCCTTTCTACCTAAAGTATCAGAGGTTCAATGACTTGCTCAGCATCTCATACACTCTGTAAGAAGCAGAATCGGGTCTAAAACCCATTTCCCCTGGCCTTAGACCCTTCGTCTTCAGCGTTTCATTTCTGATGGGGTTTTCCTCTCGGATAGGCAAAGGAAAGATGAACTGGAGCAGAGAATGTCAGCACTGCAGGAGAGCAGGCGGGAGCTCATGGTTCAGCTGGAAGGGCTGATGAAGCTACTGAAGGTAAGAGCCAGTGGCCTGCCCTCAGGTCTCCTCCCTCGGCTCGGCGCTTGTCCATCTTCCTCCACCAGCGTAGCTCCTGCCTTTCCTGTGCTGTTGGAACAGGATGAGAGGCTGAAAGCTTAAAGAGGCTGCCTGGAGCCAGTTTTCAGGTAACCCTCCATACAGGGAGCCTAATTTAGTATGACAGTCATCTAAATTCGTATCAAGCCTGATTATAAAAAATTAGTAACTGGAACTAGAGTAATGTCCCTAAATAGTTGCTTTTTATGAATGTTTGTAAATAGGATCTTAGCTATGTATAAATGAATATTTCCTAACTATTTAAAGTTTCTTTTAAGACAAGTATTCAAGTATTCTACCTACAGCTATTAAATGACCTATTTTAATCAGTATTACAGAGACACAGCAATCTTATCAAACCAACTCTAGTCAATAACTTTACTATATTAAGAGGAATAAAATAGCATATTAGCTCTAGGTTTGGTATATTGAGCTGGAATAGATCTAGAATAAAAATCTCACTATCTATTTTTGTTGAAGAATATATTACAACCCCTACACCCCAGAGCAGAGAAAGGCACGCTTGGCATTTAAATGTCCTCACCTGGACAGTTTTCCTGGCACTGAACAGAAATATTTACCCAGCTACGTAGCAGCAATACCAGAGCACATTTGTTCATGCTGTTAATTCCTAAGGTCTGTGCTCCCAAGACACTGTTTTTTGTGATATGACAGAGTTAGCAGCCAGTGTGGAAAAAGGAAAGTGTGGGGCACCTCAGAGGCCAGGCTGGAGGAGGGGTGATTTACTCCTGTGATAAAGGGGAGTCTCTGAAGGTTTTGAAAAAATAGTTCAGGAAAATATGCAGAACAGGTTAGAAAGGGGAGAAACTAAAGGGGAGACTAATGAAATCGTCCAGGCCCAAAGTAGCAAGGGTCTGGAGTGGAGCACTAGCCCGAGAAAACATCACCTTGGAAAATATCAACTCTTTCTCAACTTTTCCATTCTAAGCCAGTCCCTTAATAATGAAGGTATTAGCAACTCAGGCGAGTACATTTTAAACTGTCTTTGGACTTGCTCAAGGCAATCAGTTCTTTTAGTCTTGAGCTGAGTTTGTTTCTAGCTTTGGCCCTGGGTGTTTGGGTCATTTGGCTTGGACATGTTTCCACATTAACCCTGGCTACAGGATTTCTCCTGAGAAATATTTTATGTCTAAATGAGTTTTGTTTAAAGAAAACCTTATGCATAAAACCTGGCCCAGATCCCTTTGATAGTTGTTTAGTATCCAGCTAAGCAACCCGTCAGCCACTCAAGACAACAGATTTGTCTCACTGGGCTTGTGGAACATCTGCAGCCTTGCGGAACCAGTCCACCAGCAGGACAGAAGATAACAGGGGGTCCACCCCACCCCTTCCCTGTGTCAAGCCTCCCTTTAAAAAAGATGCTCTCATACATTACCCCGACATGGATGGGAAGGTATCCCAGGCTGATTTTTGTAAAAGGTGAAAAGTTTGTGTAAACTGAAGGGAAGTCAGAATGCATTTCCTCTAAGTACTACTGTACACTTTCCCATCAGATGGTTGCTCTCAGTGTTACTTAGGTATCCTGGTTTAGAGCCCCATGTGCATTACTGTGACCTTGCAGTTCAACTCCCGATGCTTATATTCAAGGGTTAAGCAGAATGAGCTGATGCCTGGAACTCTAATCCCAAACCCTGAGTTTCTCTGTATTTCCAGCTGTTGTCTTACAGTTATAATTTCAGTAAAATAAGCAGGACCCTACTGCCCCATTTTGTAGGATCCCCTGCCAGGTTCTAAAACACACCATTCAGATTGGGAGGAAGAATTGACAGACACAAAGAAGGAATGTTGTCTTTTTATCCATTGATTAGAATTCATAGTTGAAATCTCATGCATTTTGCGTCCAGCTTCCTAAAAGGATTACAATCTTAATTTGTGTATTATGTGCACTCCTTAAAGATCATACATAGGAATCACTGACTTCTATTAAAATTTCAAAGATGTTTTCCTACTATTAAAAAGTACCCTTTAGAATGCTAATTCTAATTTCAAAAGACTGTCCTGCCTTCATTGATGTTCAGTCTGCTACCCTTTAATTCTCTCATAAAACAGCTATAAGCAGTTAGTCAAATGGGCAGCTAAGCCACATGGTCTGGGATACTCATAAATTAAAATACACTGCACAGTAAATTCCCGCTTCATAGAGAGGTCTTTTGTTTCGCTCCTTCAGCAAAACATTATATGTTTATCTGAAAAATGATAATTTAAAGAAGCACACATGAAGTATCACCATTGTTTATGAATTTATTCAACAAAAATTTTAAATCTTTCTTTTGGAATAAGACTGGGTAAAAATTAATCATACGTTTATTTAACAAATAAGTGTTGTATTTAGGTATTTGGCATATAATGGTGAGTAAGACCCAATTCCTGTCACCAAGGAGTATCAAGGACCTTGTTATTGTTTTGGGGTTTTTTAATGACATAATGTAGACTGACACTTAGTACCCATGTTTCAGAATGTAATTTTTACCTTACATTTTTCCCCCTAATTAATGAGTATATGGATAACCTCTGCCTCAAACTTCTTATGTAATCTAGAAATGGTTATGTGTTGATATTTCAGTTTCTGAATCATGTTCCCAGTATTTTTCTGCCTGTTTTTCCATTGTTCAATATTGCTTTTGAAACACATTTACCAGATGAATTCTGCAGTTTTGAATTTCAGCCTCATTTGCAAATGAGGTTTTGCATATAAATTTTTCTATAGATGACAGCAGTGGCTATGGCATTACTTTGGCCACATAGCCAGGCATCCCCCATGTGGAAGAGTGTCCTGTGTTTTTAGGTGAAATAAGCAGTTCTAGATTTGCACTTCATAATTAAGGTATTAGTACCCCCTTTACATCAAGTTGGCTCCTGTCATCAGTCAGTGTTTACTGACCCTGACTGACTGATCGATAACAAAAAGTTCTAAGACTTTACTTCTGACCTGTTTTCTGTGTTGACAGAGGCTTCAAGGCTTTATCTGAATGACTTTTGTGACTTTAAATTATATGACACTATCCTATCCTATCGCACTTTGCCAAAGTCCACCGTCTCCCAATCCCAGTGCTCATGGGAGGTGTCTCAGTCCTGAAAAAGCTGTCCTGTCCACCTCCCCATCCTAGCCTGACACATGTGTCTACTGCAGATTAAAATGATCTCATGTCTTTGGACAAACTATAACAGTTACCAAATGTGCAAACATGAAACATTGCTTTCTGAAATTTCCCTATTCTATTGAACCAAAGCTCCGTTCTCTCCAGTACCAAACCTGAAGAAAACAGTGAGAATAAGGAGGTGTCTTAGGAACAATTCTAGGAAATTACATACTGGTCTTTTAACCTCAGATGCAATTTCAGCGTGTCAGGATTGCCCCATCCCTCTTCCATCATCTTAATTTCCATTTTAACACAGTGCCAGCACTAAAAACACATTTTTTTAATTGCTTAATAACTCTCCTAGGGCTGTTCGCCTTACCTAGTGAATGGGAGAAAAATGTTCTGCATCACAGGGAAACCTAGCTAGGAAGGGAGATGGCTTCCCAAATGCAAAATTCTAATCCCTTCTAATTGGAGCCATGGATGCCAGATGCAAAAGCTAAAAGACCCTGACTTCTTAGGCTACACTAGCTCCTGCCCAGGGCCCTCTCTGCCTGGGCTCTTGGGAGTTTAGGTTTGGCTAGGCATCTAGCAGCTGGCTTCGATTATGAAGAACATCTTCCTCTGCTGAGTTGGAGTCTCTTCAAGAGATTTCTTGGTGTCCATCTAATTTCTCCCTTGCAGAAACATAATTATTTTCTCCAAATTTTTACTTACTCCCTCCCTTTTGTAATTCCTTGGCTTCACTGAAATCATTCTTGCCATTGCCTGAAGATGTGCAGACTGAGAAGCTCTCATCCTTTCCTAAGACTTCTTCCACACGTGTTCAGTAAAGAGTGCCTGGATGGATGGATCCAATTTAAATAGAACCGTTGCAACAGCTTTTAGATGTGCATACTTGGGGCAAAGAGCGAGGCTTCCTGGCCACAGTTACCCATGACGAGCACAGAAAGGAAGCGAAGACACCCATAAAAAGACAGTGTAGCTGAGGAGCAGTGGACTGAGGAGAGAGAAACTTAGTAGCATCTATCTGGTCCTCACTGTGCTCCTTCCTACAGTGCCTCGTGGTGCATTCTGATAGCTGATAATTGTCAAATGTCTACTCCACGCACTATCTCTGTAAGGTTCTAAAAGACTGAGCCCATCTCATGTTTCCAGGGCTTTATGCATAAGAAGTACTCAGCGAATCTGTGTTAAATTAATGAGAATTCTTTTTTAAAGGCTTCTCAGGGCCCTGAAACAGGTTCCAGTTTACTGGGGGGAAAACCAAAGCAGCCCAAAAGCAAGTGGAGGGGAGGGGACTGCATAAGAGATGAATCTGTGGTCATGTGGATTGCTAGCCGGGGAAGTTCTTAGAGCCGTGATTCTCAAACTAGCAAGCACCAGAATCAGCTGAAAGGCTCACTAAACACATTGCCCTGCCGTACCCCATGAGTTTTGATCCAGTTGCTCTGGGGTGGGGTCCAAAATTTATGTCTCTGACAGGTTTTCAGGTACTACTGCTGCTGCTGTTGGTCTGTATTCCACACTTTGAGGACCACTACCTGGAGAAATGTACCTAAACACCTGTGAAGATTGCACGTGGTGAAATAGAATGATTATTGGGCTTTTGAGTCAGAGCTGAGTTGCCTTTTTTAATTTACCCTAAATAGTTATGTGTTGGGCAAGTCAGGCTCTCTAAGCCTTTTCGAAGCATAAATTAGAAAGTTGGACTAGATGGTTTCTAAGGGACTTTCCTTGCAGTTCTAGAAGTTAGCATTTAGTGAACTGGATGGGGCAGAGGCCAGCCGTTTGCTCTGTCCAGCTGATGACGCTCTTACGGTGACTAGGGCTTTGATCTCTCACCCCGTGGGCCTGGCCTAGTTTGCCCTATTCCTCTGTCATTTCTTCCAGATGTTTGTGGTGACGGGCATTAACCTCTCTCCTTTTCCCCTCTGCCTTCTTTTTGCCTTCACTGCCTCTAGGAGGAAGAACAAAAGCAGGCAGTAAGTGAACTTCAGACTTATCCATCAGACTCCTGCTCCTTTTGCATGTGTTCCTTTTCTCATATGAGTGGTTTATACTTTTCTCCTGTCCTCCCTGCACGAGATCCGCTCTGCAGAATTGATCATGTGTAAACCTCACAGCAGTGCTCTCCGTGGTGTTGTAAAATGGCCTGAAAGTCCACGTCATGTTTTCCTAGTCGAGCATGTTCTTATTTGAAACCAGAGCTTGTCGAATTTGTTTTCAACGTACATCTCTTGTATTTATTTGTATATGCATGATTAGCCAGGCTGCGATTGCGTTTCCCGGCCCTTGCCTTCTCTGCTGCTTTGTGTCTAGAGTGACTTTAATCGCCTGAAACAATTTTCGAAGTGGTGGGGGTAGATACTATGGTCTAAATACTATGTCATGAGTGAAAATGAGTAGTTTTGATAACTTCAGGTGTCCTTTAGTCTTGAACAGGCTTCTGGATGCTGCGGCTCCAGGAGCCTTATTAACAGAGTTACCAATGAAAAGTAAGTGCTTGATTTTGCTGTAAGTGATTTCCTGTTCTGAGACTACTCCAGAGGGAGCTCTGGTTTTCCTGAGTTGCATGACTGTTGCATGGTATTTAGGGAAGGTCTGTGTTTGTTTTTATTTATCCTGATAGCCACTAACCCTCGCAAGAAAATCAACTGAGGGCCTAGCCACAATAGTAACACCATATGTTTATATGACATAGTAAGGTTTTCAAAGCATACATCTTTTACACAAGCTAAAGCTGATTTTTAATTTGCCTCAGGGCTTTTTTTTTTTTTTTTAAGAAGTATGAAATGTTTAATTTTAAAAGTTTACTCATTTCTTTTTCAAAAAACAAATTTATCCATGTTTTAGATTAAGAATAGGAATGTAAACATTATGTTTATTATTGGTTCCAGTTAGGAGAGCAGTGAAATCATAGAGGGAAGGAAGAGGTAGGTGGTGAATGGAGGAGTCAAGGAGGGAGTGAGGGAGAAGTGGACTGTCAGAGAGAGGGCAGGAAGGTAGAGCATGGTGTGGTGTAGGAGGGGGAGACAACCCAGAAATCTCAATGGCTTTAACGTAACAAAAGTTTGTTTTGTTTTTCTCATTCACACATAGTTTATTGCTTTTCTTATGGCACTTCCATAGCAATAGATACTGACATGGACAAAGCAGGAGAAGATGAGGATGGAAAGTCACACCCAGCCATTAAATGCTTCTACCAGGAAGTGACATGTGTGTCACTGTTCTGCTGTATTTCATCGGCCAAAGCAAGTCACGTGACCACACATAACCTCTAGTTTGCTTAGAAGCAGGGAAGAGGATGCTCATGATTCATAGGTGTACACGTAGGAGGATTTGTCCTTCTGCTCCCTTCCGCTCCTTCCCTGACAGGCTCATCCCCGTGCGGTTGACGGTACTCTTCCTGCCGATCCAGAGCATCACATCACCTGTGGTTGCTGACCACCAGCGTTCCCCTCCTTCTCTTCACCCCTCTATACCGCAGAGATGTACTTCATAGCTAAAGCCACTTGCGGGGAGCTTACTTCAGCAGTCCGCCCAGACTAGCATCTCCTGATCCCTCTCAGAATGTGCCCGCTCAGGGGTGAAGCACGCAGTCGGGAACACCCTACCCTGCGCCTTACCTGAGCACTCTCTTTCAGAAGGGGGCAGACATTACAGATGTTTATTTTAGCGGTAGCATTAGAACCTCCACTAGACATTTCATTTTTAACAAGTTTTACGGGTTACTGTGTAATCCAAGAACCAGAAATTACCACTGCTGGTGTATTATTTCTCAGGTCATCTTAAAGCTGACCTTGAGCCAAAATGGGATTGACTACGATGTTTATTTCAGTGACCTTTGATTCTGTGTGAGATCAGTATCCCTCGAAATTGGCAAAATGAGGAGCTAGACCCAGACTGCCGAAACCTGCCGCTAACAAGCCCCCTGTGTGTATGCCTCGGGGTCCTCAGGCCAGGTCCTGAGTTCAGGGTCTAGTCCTCACAGTCTCATAGGACTGTCCATAGCACGAATTGGCACAAATTGTTTTTTCCCCTCATCTTTCCCCACTATAGTATGAGGTAAGACATTCTGCTCTGTGAATAGAGGTAGAAATATCATCCATCCACCTTATAGGTTTAATCTAGACCCCCCTAAGGCTCATTTCTGAGGCTCATATTTGAACTGAATGGCTTTACATAGTTTAACAATATTTTTAATATATACAGCTGAAGAGACTATAAAGCTTTAGAACTAGCACTTCTGTTTCAATCTATACTATTACTGAGTGAGACACCAAAAGGTACTTATGACAGAGCTAAGTTGTAATCCTTTCTTCCTCCCAGATTCTGGCTGGTATAGTTTAATTTCTCCCCTATCAAAATGTATTACCCTATTTGGGTAATAAAATAATCGTAAAAGACTTTTAGAATGAAGAATTTAGTAGACAAGTTTCCCAAAGCTAGCTCCACAAATCTAGTATAGAGAACTTTGCATATAGTCTGCCTTCTTGCTTCTTTCTCCATTAGGGGTCATTTTGGCTTTGGGGGAATTTGAGAGAAACGGGTAATAACTGCACTTTGAAAGCGTTGGTTCCGTGGTTCTACCTTCAGCCTCTGCCCCTTTTCCAGTGCTATGCGAGGCATTAGTGCCTTAGCTGATAATTCTTCTGTCTTTCCTCCTTCCCTCCCTCCCTCCTTCCCTTCTCTTTCCTGAGATGCAAGGGTTATAATTAAGGGCAGAACTGCCTGGCTGTTTCAGATAAGACTTCACTGAGTGACTGTTCAACCCACGATATCTCCTATAGTTTGACAGGCTCAGGAATTCGATTGTATCAGTTGAGTCTTGGTTAATCAGGCCCATGATAATCATCAGTCTATAATTAAAGGGCTTTGTCCGCTTTTTTCACTACTGTGTCCCCAGCCACTAGCCCATGCCTGCCACACAACAGGTACTGTACTCAGTAAATAGTTGCTGAATGAAAACCAGTATTAACCAGATCTACAACATTTTGACTTAAAAACAGTGTGAATTCATGCATTTATTAATTGTAAGGGACATAAGTGGTTCGAGTACCTGCAGCGGTGATTTTGCTCAAGGTACTCTCATATAATAGGTGGATTCATTCAGGAGATTAAAAGATGGTTCAGAAATGTTCTTTATAAAAAGGAAGCAGAAAAACAAAATTTAGTGTTACCGAATGAATAGGAACACTACGCTAATGTAGCAGTGTTATTATTAACTCTCATTTCTGTCTAAAGAACAGATACTGATCATGTAGAATAAAATCATCCTCTCCCTTTTTTTTTTTTAACACAGATAATCTATAAAATCCAGGGTATCTACAGTTATTTATATCATTTAAAAATATTTCGAGCATTGCTCAGTAAAATCCAATGCCCACAGCCACTGTGGATATGGGATTTACCAGCATGTTACGAAGGGGCACGCTAGGGTGACAACAGACTGTCGAGGACCCTGCTGACAATGGTGTTCACTGCCATTGATGCACTTGAGCTGTGGGCCACTCTAATCTAAGTCAGACAATATCCCAGTCCTAGTCTGGAGGGATTTCAGATATATAAATTCGTCCTAGGGACATCTTGGGGTTTCATTTTCCCTGGTGACTCAGTATACCATCAGATTTAACTCCTGGATTGCTAGCATCAAATAAACTATCCGAGGCAAAGGGTTCAATTTATTCATGAAGGATATGTTTCCTTGAACATTTCTCTGATCCCTCCTATTAGAAGATATCACCTTTTATATACAGATTAATATCAGGCTTAAACAATGTAACTTTAGACAGTGGAACACAAGGATAGGGGGTGCCCACGGGGTGACCTTGACCCAGCTTAGTACATAGTAGGGTAGTGGTTCAGAGGGCTATGTGGGTGGTACTGTGAAAATTATGTAGTTAAAGGAATCTTGGGTATTTCGCTCAGAGAACATGGCCACATTTGGGACCTCTTTTGTTACTTCAGTCAGTTGCGATATCAGATGGGTTTGTGCCCTTTCTGATTTCCAGAACCAGACAAATAACTCACTACATCTATACCAGAGAGCGTGGTGTGAGCTGGCCCTAGAGAACCCCCATCTCTGACCATACCCCACCAACTATGCCTACAGGAAGGGCACTCAGTATTTAGTTAGCCATGGTGGATCCGTGAGTATTAACTTTGCAAGTTTAAGAGAAAGTACTTAAAAAAAAAAAAAAAAAACCCTACACAACAACAAATAAAAACCTCCTCTTTATCCACAGAAGACATTATCGGTGAACCCCTTGATGTGCTCCTACGTCATTTCTCCTCTTGGTTCACTTAACCTTTGGACACAGTCTCACTGAGAAGTGATTCACATGCCTGTGAAATCTTCTGGACTCTCTGGTTCCCCAGTACTCTGAAATGGAAGCCTGTGTCTACTTCCTGAAAGGCAAAAGATTGCCATTTATTTATTTATTCAGCACTGTCTTACTACCCATGTTTAAGGCAGTGAGCCTGGCCTTTTGGAGGCTAAAAAGAGAAATTCCACACAAATCCCACCCTCAAATAGTTTGAAAGTTATTTTGTGATTGGCACAATGCCCTAAATACAGAAATACAAGCCAGGTCAGTGATATCCCGAGCCTTAGGCACCACTACTGCCCTTCTAAGTTTGTAAGCTCCACATTGACCCTTCGGTATACAAGGGTCAGTGTGCTATATTACATGGCTGTGCCACAAACCTTCAGCCTGGGTCCCAGGCCCAGTCTGCGTGCACAGACTCTGCCCGTTGGTGCATAGATGGCCTCGTGCAAGTCTGCGCTGTGCTCACTCATCAGTCTCAGCTTCTGCACTCATTATAGGGACCTGGCAGCTTGTCGGGTTTTAGTTTTAGTTTTTTCCCCAAAAGAGGAAATGTCATTACAGCATTGAAGATAGATATTCGTATTTCACTCCTCCGAAGGTCATTGAATACCTATAAGGAGTTTACAGTCTGAAGGTACAGGGGGAAGTAGCTT